CTAGCAAACCTAGACTACATACAAGGCCCAATGCTTTATGTGGATCTGAGACCCTACCCATTCCTACGCACATTGCAGCTGCAGACTGAAAGAAGGCAGTGCTTGAATAAAGATATCCATAAGCATTACGAAATAATACCAAAAGTCGCAGGCAACATATCATTGAAAACTACCTAACCAGGTGATTAATGGTAATAGAGGAGCGAAATTCCAACAGCATTAATTGAAGAATAGAATACACGATAACATAGATCACACGCTGTACAACAGAAAGCAGGAAAGAAGTTTCTTATCATCTACTAGAGAGAAATTTGTTATGTATTGAAAAGAAAAACAAAATCATAAATAGATGAATATGGTTCTAATTGGAAAAATACTAATCAGGCAAGATATTCGCTTTTGTCATTATGTCTTTGTCAGCAAGAAAGTTCGTATAATCCTATGGAGAAGTGACAAATACACAGTCAAGACTGTATTTTATTTCAAATCCTGGAAACAAAAAGTCACAAAAGCTGACTAAAAACAATACATTTGAAAACTGTTATCAGATCGCAGATCCAAATATAACAGTATGTCGTCTAATACAAGCAATGATTTAAATAAAATATTCTGTTTTTATCTGGTTCTCAATCACTACGATTACAAGACCTAGAAATGAATGTCTAACCTATTCCAGCACAGATTCGATCATTTCATTCGTTCTGTTAAACAGTCTTACAGGAAAAAATGACATCGAATTTCACGCGGTTTTCCATGAGCTGTCAAACATGACTGATGAATCAATTTCCAATGTTTCAGGAAAGCATTAAACGTGCAAGCTGGGCATTCGAGATATCAGTGAATGAAACACCATCGTTGCATACCCTTCCCATTTATTCTTTTGAGTATGGACGGATACTTTACGCCAAACGTTTTTTATTTCGTTTCAAAAACCCAGAAAACCGAACGACATCACCTTTCCATCATTTCTTGACGGGTTCTGGGGCTAATTCGCAACTAATGCCCGTAAGGAACCAAATAAAGATGGTTTAGATTGCTTATACATCGAAGAGCCTGCAGCACATTTGTTGCTGCCTGTTCCATCTGGCTCACTAGCCTTCTACAGAAGTTGAGAAAGAACGATGATCTTAGAAAACTGGCGGATAAATGAACGAGCTTTTTCCAAGTCAAAATTCTTTCGGCAGCTCAATTCTGAAGCAGGATGAAATACCATCAATCCGCCATTTTCAGTTCATGGTCCAAGAAGTCATCCGTCAGAGAATATGGCCGACATCTGCTCCGAATTACGCTATGTTACAAACTGATCCTTGAAATGCAGGAACTCGTAACGTTTTAGACAGAGACGCATCAATTACCAGAAAATTTAGTTATAAATAATTTCGAATTAGAAGGACGGGCGCATGTGAGCCCGACATCATTAGAACGGGGAAGTGAGCCAACGCCCCTATCATCACCCTCCACTTCCTCTTCTTCCCCATCTTCCTCACAACGACTACGTTCATCCCGTCTCATCACATTCTTCTTCTCCGTCCTCTTCCATCTCGGGTTTCAGACGCTTCCCTACGGCCGTCGGGAAAGATCACAGGATCGTGCACGGGGACAGCGCAGAGTCTCATACCCATGATGACATGGACGCTAGCACTTCTGCTCTATTTTATTGATATTCCGGATCCGTTTTCTCTTGTATATTTCTCTCCAATTACTTACCGTCTGGTAGCATTTCGTAACGAGCCAGCCGCAGAAATGCGAGTTTCCCAACCACCACTGTTGGCTCCATTCAAGATTTTCAGTGTTTTAACATCTCTCTGCCGTGAACCTTTCCTCTCAGAGCCATGTGCTTAATAATAATGCCGGAAAAAAACAAACCGAGTACGATCTGAAGCCAGAAAGAGCATCTTTGACCAAATACGGAACATGAGTAGAGTCTTGAGCTGGGGAGGCTGTATTAATGCTTACAAGATCATTATTGTGAGGTGCTCAAAGGTTATCCAATCGATCGACCTGTGGGTCAACTACATCGGCGGGAGAGACCCGGCATCTGTGACGATGCCAGAGTCTCAATTAGCAGGCCAAGACGGGGGTCAACCGCCAACAAACCTGCAACCACGTTGACAACACTGTCCTCCTTTCTCCATGACTAGTACAGCGCAAGCACCAGTACTAACTGAACCGAGTCTTTTGCTCTCCTTTCACTAGGCCATGAACCTCACTGTTTCGGTTATTGCATACCCGTCGTCGGTTTGGCCGTCTCCTACATGCAACATTCATAGAAGCCTTGGCGCAGCTCGCCTCCGCCTAGTTTGCCTCGCAGATCACTTGGACTAGATTTTTGCTTCCTTCTCTTCTTGATGTTGCAGGCTATCACATGCCCTTTGTTTTCCATGAAATTGCTGTTATCGATAGTATTTTCTTATCCTGCGCGCCCCCTCAACGGCTTTCTTTGTCTTGCGCTCTACTGCCGAATATAGTGATGTCACATCGAGTGATCCACCCACAACCGTCGCCTAGTTCAGTACTATTTCCTCGTGCATAGATTACCAGACCACTCACATTTCGTTAAGTACGACGGAACAAGTGATTTAAATGGTTAGTATCGAGTACGAATGGTCAGGGACAAGAAAAAGTAGCCACATGAGCCAAATATACCGTTCATAATGTGGGAGAGAGAGAGAGAGAGAGAAGAAAGATAGGAAATGGCCGCTGGTAAGTGTTACGTGTTAACTAAATCAGCTGCACTCTTTGTGTTTCCGGTGACCACACGAGAGAAGGTTCACCTCCTCGCACTTCCAGGAGAAGAGGGGTGGCTGGTCAGAGAGCCATCTCTCTCTATTTGTCTCTCTCTATCTTGCTCATTTTTCTCTCTCCATATAATACATTAGAATCAATGAATTAAGTAAACTAAATATAATAAAATATCCCAAGCCCGATGAGCCGCTGACGACAATAAGGCAAAACAATCTATTTAGATTGAATTAACAACTAATTGGATGGAAATAGCATTAAATTTCTCTAGAAAAACATGATATGCTTTAATATTTGAACAGAACTTTGCCAACTGTCTTCTAGACCAGAACACGCAATTAATTTAGTATGTACTGTAAGGACAAATCAATTGTAGAAGGAAATCTCACGACACGTTCACTTCTCTCTACCTCTTCACCACCACCCATAATTATCCTCAACCGTTACTAACCCTTCTCCTCTCCTTTAAATAGACGAAAACGAGGGAGGAGAAGAGGAAGAGACAGGGGGAGAGGGATCCCAACTCCTTAAATAAAGCAGACAAGGAGCCCACCATCAATCCTGCAGATCCCTGATCTTTATGATGGGGAAATGGCCAGGAAATTGATGGCCTGATATTTCAGTGAAAGAATAAGCATGAGACACTACAATATCAACAAAGTTACCAATACTAGAAAAGGGGAAAAAATAAAAAGAGAGACTAATGGCGCCTCTGATTCAACGTGGTATGGAGAGGTTAATACACTTTTTCACGCCCAACGAAAAAGGAAAGAGATGCTTCTCTGTGTATGAGGAAAAAGGGTACAAGAATAGAGGATCGACTCACGACCAAAGCGACCAGATACCGGGAGATGCCAAATCCCTAATTTCTGAGGCTGTAGAGAAAGGGTTTTCCATCATGTTCTTTCTCCCGATAAACCCCCTTTTTTCAACAGGTTTTATACAGGAATTTTTCTCGACTGGTTGACGAAGTCAACCTTAGACTTTAAATAGATGATGAGAGAGAAAAAAAGAACAGCGGGATAAGTGGATGGAAGCCCCTATGGATTACCGTTCCTCACTAATAGTGAATAGACTGACTGGTTTGACCAGCCAACAAAATAGTACGACATGGTCAACAAGGAATAATGGTTTGACCGTTCTTTCAAGTTTTCAACTGTGAATCCAAACACCATTTCTAGACTGAATTCAAGCTAAAATCGCTGATTCGTGCTCCTGATCAGCTGTCATGGTGCCCGTACCTAAGGATTGAATGCAAAACAATGAATACGGGAACAAGTAATGACATTTTCGTTTTCACTTTTCCTAAATATTAGAACACAGAAAGTGGGCGCATCTTAATATAGTCAGAATTAAAGGACGCGTGGAGGTTCCCAAAAATCTGTAATAGAGAAAGCTCGATGTCACTAAAGTTTTCTTATAATCAACCTATGGCCTACGTCGCATTGTGGGTTCCTGATCATCAGTTTTGATGGATTCCTCCACTCCATTCGGTGCAATCTGCTCCTTGGATGTGTTTCTGTCATATCAAGTATTACTAAAGAAGATACGAGGAAATGATGGCTGAGGACATAATATCATAGGGTAATGAGGTTCTACCCACTCCATTTCTGATGCGCTTCGTCCGTCAGAGTTACTGGGATTTGCCTTGCGGATAGACGAGGCACACAGGAGACGAACAACCGTGGATGGAATATGACGTGAACAAAGAGGCTTTCGTCCCTGTCAGAGTTGTAACGATATGTTTTCTAGTTATCTTGGTTTTTTTCCTCTCCACAATTCGTTCACTATGCGTCCACCCAGTGTCCAACGCGGTGAATGGAGCATTCCCAGAGACTGCCCTCAAGAATCAGACATTAATTTTGTGGGGGTTTTCTGGGCGGCGAAGAGGACGCCTACTGTTGCGCTTTGGGCATGGATGTTCGTAAAAAATGGTACAAAAGTGTCGTCCCCGGCAGTGGGGCTTCACCGAATGGTTGGTATTTGATGGATGGAACAATCTCGCATTGAATGTATCATATTCATTGGGCACGCCCGGATATCAAGGTGTTAAATCCGCATGGTCTAATTGATTTGGCGGCACAGCACCCAAACCGCCAACGAACACAGATTTCGTCCAATTAAATTTTCTTTAAGTGTTGATCTCACAACTGGTCTAACCCCAAAGACCTGTCTTTATGGTTCAACCTCCACTCCTATATATCCCTCCGCCAGGAGGAATATACAGGGTACCAGCGTAGTGGGATCGAGGTTTAGCCATGGCCTCCAAGGGCGGGATTCGCATTCTCCTCGCTGCCATGGTCGCGTGCCTCCTAGCGGTGGCGCCTTACGCAAACGCAGCTGTGGACTGCGAAACGGTGAAAACGCAGCTCACTCCCTGCGTTGGCTATGTCCAAGGCATTGATCCCGTCCCGGCGCCCGGGTGCTGCCAGGGCATAAACAATCTGATTCCGCTGGGAAGGACGACTGCGGACCGCCAACAAATCTGCGTGTGCCTGAACGAATTACTCCCGACTGTTTCCGGGCTCATCCCCACAAAGGTAACAGAAGTCCTTCAGAAGTGCGGCTTCAACTTCTTCTTCCCTATACAACTCCCCATCGACTGCAGCAGGTACATTATTCCCCGCCGCTAAAACAACGCTAAGAAACGCGGACACTTGAGTCCATGGTGACTGACCCATAACCCCGATTCTCGTGGGTTTGGCCTTTGCCTTTTGTGCAGAATTCCTTAAAGCCTGGCTGCAGATGAGACTTCTCCGACAACTGCTACCCCGCGCTAATAAGCTTTGAGAGAGCAAAAATGGGCATTACTGTGGACTGGATATTGCTACATTCTGTTGCTTGACAAAGTAGGCGCCTTGGGAGTCCCTTTATCTATGAGATATGATACTTATTCGCCGTGCCTGTCTTCCTGTTTTGCATCTCGTGATCCATATTCATTCCCTGCGGTAGCATTTTCCTCTTTTTTCTCTACATCCTGGACTATGGTCACTCTGAACCATACCAGATGGTTTCTCGATACATCAGATATAGTAAATCCTCTGATAAGTTATCTCTTCAGGTGAGGAATTTAATCCGGTAGTTCAGCATCACTAAACATCAAAGTAAATGCACTGTTAAATATATACGATAGCTGCCCGGTTTAATTAGGGTAGCACGTCCACTATAGTTCTTGGAAACGTAACAGTCATAGTAGAAAGCAAAAAAATTTCAATCACTGAGGAAGGCTAAAGAAAGCGGCAGAATTGGCTCGAAAGTAGTTCAAGAAGTGAGTAAAAAATAAGCAGAAAACATGTCACAAGGCACAATTCATGAAAAACTATTCACCGACAAGAAGTACATTCTGGTTTCAGCAAAAATTCAAATGGCTGGAAAATTACTTTGAAAAGACGACGATTAAAGTTTCACTGAAATGAGTGCATTTAAGTCATCAATGTCGACATTAAGCTCAGATTCTCCAGCTGGATTTTGAGATAGCATATGATACAGAAAGATGGGTCTGTCCCCTTCTGTGCAAAGTAGAAGATGTGATGGATTAAATGCATTCTAATCTTTCGATGTATTCCCTCTCCGCTTTCATAAAATCCTAGTCAGCAGCAAAGAATCTACCAGGCATGAAATGCAGATTTCTTTGAACATTACTGTAGTCGTTCACTGAGGATAGCAGGATATTAACTAGAAAAGGATATATAGACATAAAGACAAAATGAAGCACAGACAGTCTTAACACCAGAAAATTAAAACCGCCTTTTCAACGAAATTGACTCCGCAAAATGGAAGATGGATGGAGGTGGACGACAGTAGTAATTAATGAAACACGAGTATAATAGAAGATCCAGAGTCCGACATTAGGTGCGTACTGACATCAAAAGCATCTCAAATATCTGGAAGCATCTCCTGAATGCTAGTAATGTGGTAGTAGATATATTAAACATTCGTGTTGAAAATGGGTAAAAAAAGAAATTATTTTGCATGAAGAATTTTAGGTAGAATAACATGAGAGTGCAGAATCTGAGTTGGATTCAGGGATTTAAACCATAACTTCATGCTGGTAGCACTCTTTCGGTGTTATCTGCACAGAAGGATCTGTGAGACTGAATGATGTCAAAGCTTGAGGAAGAATCTATTGGTCTTAAGATAGACTGTGTAAACTGTGAGATGACAGGCTTGAACTCGAAGAAGTGTTTTGAAGGAGAAGGATTTTCGTTCTCTTATCTTGCTTCACCAAGTATCTAGACAGGTAAACTTGTTCAACAGTTTGAAAGTGGAATAGACAGGAAAAGGAGCCATATACCTTATTGAAGGACGTCTTAACCTATAATTCTTTTCATTTTCAGGATGGCTAAAACAGTGGAATACGACCTGCAAGTTATCTAGTATATACTTTTTAGACCTATAGCGATATATTAATTTTAGGGTATTTAAACACAGAATGGAAGACATGACGATAACAGTAGAGATCTCAACTTTTCTGTTTTACTGAAAATGATTCCGGAATTTGAGAAATAAGGAGAGCGATCTGGTTGAAAGAAGTAATAAAAGTACCCTAGCAAAAGTAACATTTGAGATCTTTAGACTAGTAATATTAGCATCAGTTAAAAGGTACAGAAAGATGTCCAGTAAACCAGAGATATGGTAGACGGAATGGGACAAAAAACTGCCTTTGGAAGGATGGCGACCTCTGCTCTTAACGACAGGTTTAACTTCTATTTTCAGTAATACAAATTCTAGCATCATCATAGCATGAGTCCTAAATCATTTGATATTCCAAAGATTGTGGTAGGCTAGGTTCCAGAAAGACTTAGGGATCAGAGGATCTGGGAATTCAGAGACATTTAATGCTTCCTAGAAGAATGCGGCCAAGTAAGACCCACAGCAAAGACATGCTGGTACATACGAGCTACCAGATTGCACATTAAAATTGTGAATCTCCTTCCTTGAAAGTAAATAACAGATTCTGGCAAAAAAAACCATCAGGTTGACAACGTGAGGAAATATAAACTCGAAACCTATTTAATTCACTCAATCACAAAGAAAAGTTAGATGGGCAAACCATCTTAGAACGCCAAGTCTAAGTGAAATGCTCGGATGCCAAACAGAAGAAACGAAGCTCTTTTTCATCTTCATATTCAGAACTTCCCATGAAAAGCATATATTCTGCGAATTACAGATCATCTCGGCATTGATAATGCAATACAATAAAATAGAACTAAACCGTCGAAGAAGATTCAATCTTAAGAAGAACTAACACTATTCATAAATGACATTGGCACAAACATCAGACTACTATACTCTCAATTCAAAAAACAGTAACCCCCGCTGATTTTACATTCCTCTGAAATAGAGACCTGTACATTTGTGTGGGTGGATGTGCACACAAGAAAGGATGGTGTTAATTGTTAATTCTGAACTTCATTGGATAAATTGGACATTGACCTTCAGTCCACTTGAGTTCAGGGTAATTTGCACAAATGATATCCGCACTAAAAATTACGAGTGCAACCAAGTGTACCAAAGACGTATGGACTTTGGTTCTTCAAGTCCCAAGGAAACCACATAATAGCAGGAGTTGGCTCTAATAGGAACTCCTAACGTTTCAGATAAAGACGAATCCATGAAAAAATAATTTGTTTATAAAAGAATCCGAATTAGAATGATAGCCGCAGGCGAGTTCGAGATCAGGAGAACGATAAAGTGAACGAACCTTTTTTGTACGCAATACACCACTCTTCTCCTTCTTCTTCTTATACACATCTCCGCCACCCTCATCAACGTCCGTTGCATCATCCTCGACTTTCTTGTCTTCTCCATCTTCCTCACTTTAACTACGTTTATCCCGTCCCATCACATTCTTCTTCCCCGACCTCTTCCATCTCCGCTATAGGGTTTCAGACGCTTCTCTACGGCCGCCGGGGAAGATCCGAGAATCGTACACGAGGACAGCAGAGAGTCCATTCGCGAGATGGAGCACCCTGTACACGCGCGTATTATGGGCCGGCGGTTTGACCACCATACTGTCGGACGGACTTCGCTACCACCACGCCGGAGGGAGACGCATCCTCCTGTTGCTTCCGCTCCGGAGTCGCCGTAGGAAGCGAAGGCTCTTTGAACGGACTGCGGACACTACGGTGGCCCTAGCGGAGGTAGTCGTCGGATTAGAAGTCAAAAGAGAATACGGGGACTGGACGGTCAAATCGACCAGATCGCCGCCATTACATATACTTTTATACATACTCTAAATAGATAAATATAAATCATTTATTTATTGTAATAAATTTATTATAAAAGAATAATGATATCTATAACGTGTTATATATTAAAAATGATATTCAATTTAACTAATTTCGTATTTTTCTTCTTTTCGTTTGATGGAGGGAGGACCAAAAATCTGCAATATTGCATACCTTATACAAGATTGACCAAACTTAAAGCTTGACTTCATACAATTTGACTTTGTCAACTTGTTCTTTGTGGAAAATCTCATCCGACCCTTTTCGTGTTATGAGATCTTGAGTTTTATTAATATTTTATTGTATTATATAATTATATTTCTCATTAAAAATATGAGAATAATGACCTTACAAGTTTCATGTTAACGATCTTCATTCAAATTGGAAAATCACTCTATAGATACCAATAAGGGTATGGTCTCTCATCTCCTGCTGATGACTCTGTCTATGACATAGAGTTAGAATCCTCAAGTCACACGAGTGCATATATCTATGTTGAAGTTAGGATCTCCTCTAGGGTCATCATTTGATCTTTCACTCAACTGCTTGGATGGCATCCTTCTACTCGCTGATAGGCTGATATCTGTCTTATTCATTTCATAAATCTCTAAGTGTTTCATAACAAATCACCCAAATCTATAGAACCTTTTTTAAAGGTTTGAATTTCTTCCAATACCTTGTAAAGATGAGAAATATTCTTCTTATAGGAGTATAACTCATGTACTACCTCCCATATTTTTTTTGGCTGAATTATATGATGATGCATGCATGATGAAAGATTGTAGCATACTATTCAATAAACATGTAGTGACCCAATCATCATTAGCTTTCTATTCTTCATTCTTAACCTTCAGCTTAACTTGTTGAAGTATATACTTTTTCTTGCGAGCACCAATAAACATTTCAAAAGAGGATTTTCAAAACTAAAAATTAGTACCATCTAATTTAATAGATATACCATGCATAGCATGAGAAAGATAAGAGTTAGTGGTAAATATATTCTTCATAAGGTCTCTTGAATCTTGTTTATCCTCTATTTTCTTGAAACATTTACCTCTAAATTGTAAAAAGAAGTCTTGAGGAAGTGAGAGAGATTCACCTTCAATGTTATTTATGTAAATATAATTGATAAATCTTGCAATAATGCTTCAATACTTTGGTTATGAAATTGACTTCAGCTTCACTAGGTTGACAAGAGTTCAAAGCTATCTAGATTGGGCAACTCAATTACTTCAACATAGGGGGAGATGATAAATCCCTAATTTCTGCCACCATAGAGAAGATTTTGCATTGTGATTTTATCTCTCTCCAAACCCCATTTTTCACTAGATTTTTTACAGCACTTTTTCCACATGCATAGATTACAAGACCACTCATGTGATTTAAATAGTTAGTATCATGTC